TATACATATTAATATATATTATGCTACTTCTAATAGCTATGTCTATACTATATCTATATGATATAATTTATCATTATCTCTTTTCTTTGAATAAACTTACTATAATTGTTGCATTTACATTTACATTTTGCTTATTTTATTTTCATAGTCAAAAATAAGCAATTGAAAATAGTCAAGCAATTTCAAACCCTGGATAAGTCATGTCATTTATTTATCTCTTTTCTTTATATAATTTTGGTCCTGAAAAGGACCGGTTTTTGTATATTTATAAAATTATATTGCTTCCAATCTTAAGCACGTTCTCCACGAATACGTCTAGCCAATTGAATATCTTTTGGCATAATTGTAACGCGTTTGGCATGAATTGCGCATAAGTTAGTATCTTCAAAAAGACCCACTAAGTATGCTTCGCTAGCTTCTTGAAGAGCCATTACAGCAGAAGTCTGGAAACGTAAATCAGTTTTGAAATCTTGTGCAATTTCACGGACCAAACGCTGGAATGGCAATTTGCGAATCAAGAGTTCAGTACTCTTTTGGTAGCGACGAATTTCACGTAAAGCTACAGTTCCTGGACGATAACGATGTGGTTTTTTCACACCTCCAGTAGCTGGTGCACTTTTACGTGCGGCTTTGGTAGCCAATTGTTTTCGTGGTGCCTTACCACCAGTCGATTTACGAGCAGTTTGCTTTGTACGAGCCATAATTTATGAGATATGTTACAATATGGTATTTTAAAAAATAGCGCAATTGAATAGCTCAATTTTCTCATCATACCTGGATGTTCTGTTTCAACTATTCACATGTTTTAACATTCATTGTTTCTCATATTGCTTATTCTTTTTGTTTTGTTTTCTTTTGTTTTGTTTTGTTTTACTCAATCTTTTTCATATCTTTCATAGTGCTTATGTTTTCTATAAATAGTCGTCAATCATCCGTCGTCACTTCATTTATTGTTTGAATTTGAATTCGAACGGTTCTACCATATCTATAAAAATTTAAATACAAAATGACAGGTCGTGGTAAAGGTGGCAAAGGATTAGGAAAAGGTGGTGCTAAGCGTCACCGCAAAGTTCTTCGTGATAACATCCAAGGTATTACGAAACCAGCTATCAGACGTTTAGCTCGCCGAGGCGGAGTTAAGCGTATTTCTGGTTTGATTTATGAAGAAACTCGTGGAGTATTGAAAGTATTTTTGGAAAATGTGATCCGTGATGCTGTTACATACACAGAACATGCCAAAAGGAAGACTGTTACAGCCATGGATGTCGTATATGCTTTAAAGAGACAAGGCCGTACCTTATACGGTTTTGGAGGTTAAGCAAATAATCAATTATTGATTTAATAATGCAATAATATATTGCCCAATGGTCCTTTTCAGGACCCAAATAATCTTACACTTAAAGAGATAAATTTACATATATATGTGTTGGTATTTTTCTAATATTATAAAAAAAATAAAATTTATTATTAGCTTGATCGGTTGATGTCTGTCGAGTATAATTGATAATTAAAATGATCAGTTTAACAGAGTCCAAAATATTTATTATTATAATTCTCAATTTCTTTGTTACATTAGCAGTATATATGTGGACTAGCTTCTTACGGGCTTAATTATAATTCTCATTCAATTTTTTTATAGAATAAGATAAATAGAACTGACGTATATAAGTAATTTGCGGACTGTTAGATATTGCAGTTTGAAGTTTCCACACAATGGTGTGAAAATTTTCTCCATTCATTCCTAAGAGGTGGTTTTAGTGAATTCAAATCTCACACTGAATCTGAATCTTAATCTTAATCCAAATCCAAGTGTTCAACAAGCAAAATGATTGCGGGGAAAATGAAAGTGAAAAAAATTCGTATATGAATTAAGTGAATTATGACAATATTATATAAAGAAAAGAAATAAAAGAACTTGTTATTGAAATAAATTAGAATATTTTAAAATTATCTTTAAGTAATTTGCAGCGTCTTGCAAGTGAGTACCGAGTGTGGTGTGTTAGTTATAAATTAACAAGTGTAATTAGAAGCATTATATAATAATAAATAAAATTAGCATAAACCACTATTTTTATTTATTTAAAATAGAATTTAAAAATGAAATTAAGTGAATAAAATATATACAAGTGAGTATTTCATCAAATAAATGACATATTTTGATATATAATATTTTATGGTCATTACTATAATAAATAAATAATTGGATATTAAATATAATAGAATAAGATAAATATTTATTAACTTAAGAATGATGTGAAGTATTGCACATAATGTCTAAATAAGAGAATATAATTTTTTTAAATGCATAAAGAATTTTTGTTTGCTTATTAGAGATTAAATTTATAGCGCATTACAGAATAAAAGAATCTCTTCATATTATTCATGAGGTATTATTAAAAGAAATGATCGTGCACTATGACAAGGTATATTGTGCCCATTACTCGGGTTAGAATGTTTCTCCAAGTCCGTTTTCTTTAATGAAAGACAATATAAAGTCCTAGTCTTGAATATTTATGATCCATGAAATACCCTCCTAGGTGTTTATTCCGTTTGTGCATCAGTGGACACTACCCAAGCACATGGTATACAGTTTCTCTCTTCTCTACAGTATCTGCAGTCTGAGTTGGATTGAATTCCTAACTTCGATAGGTGATTATTCAATCTTTAGTGACCGGTCATTAATAAACGCAATAGGTATACCATATACTAAAACATTTTATAAAATAAATAAATAAATAAATAAATAAATAAATAATGAATCTTCTTATCTTCTTTTTACACATATTTTGTAGCCCTAAAAAGGGCTGTTTTGATGAATTTAAAGTTTGATTTTTAAAATTATTTTTTTGCAGCAGTTTTCTTGACTGATGTTTTTTTAACGGCAGTTTTTTTAGGTTTTGCGGCCGCTTTAGCTTTTGTAGAAGTAGACTTTGGTTTAGCTGGCTTAGCCTTAACAGATCCAATCTTTTTAACACTTTTAACTTTAGCTTTTTCAGTTTTTTTCTTTTCAACACTCTTCTTAGCTGCCGCAGATTTCTTAGGTTTTTTCTCTCCAGATACCTTTGCCTTTGACTTTTTAGTACCTGCAGATGATGCAGTAACCTTCTTCTTCGTAACACCTGATGGCACCTTCTTTTTCTTACCCTCGACAGACGATTTAGGAGACTTAGCAGCAGCAGCTGATAATTTAAATGAACCAGATGCACCTTTTCCTTTTGTTTGTATCAATTTGCCATTAGCTACAGCAGTTTTCAAATATTTTTTAATAAATGGAGCCAATTTCTGGGCATCACATTTATATGTGGCACTTATATACTTTTTAATTGCCAACAATGAAGATCCGCTGCGTTCCTTCAAGTTCTTGATAGATGCATCAACCATTTGTTGTGTTGATGGATGAGATGGAGCTGCAGAAGGTTTTTTTACTTTTGTTGCCTTTTTAACAGCAACTTTCTTTTCAGGAACGGCAGTTACCTCCTTTGGAGAATCTGTATTTGCAACGGCAACAGCTTCAGACATATTTGCTTTTTAATATTCCGTAATATTCTTACTTATGAATATTTTTTCGCATTTTTTATTTTTTTTTATTTTAAAATGTTGCTTTATTGATAATTTCATTGTTCTTACATAGTTTTCTTAAAGCTAGAAATTTACATTAAATTTTGTACATATATATACAGTTAGATCTTAGCATACTTAAGTATTTTTCTAAGAGTAATTTACATTAATAATAGTGGTATGATAAGATTGAGTATTAGACTTTGATTACGTTATAGTTTATTTTTTCTAAAAAATTATTTAAAAAAGAAAATAGCCTCGTTTGTTATTTTTTCCTTAAATCTACCTTAGAACTAACTTACGCCTACTATATACAATATTTACAATACAGTTTATAAGATTTTTTACAGTGTTTTTTTAGTATTTATTTTTTTTTTTTTTTTTTGTTGTATATTTCTTTCTAACTAGGTTAGATTAATTACAATGTGAATTGTGCGGTGGAGTACACTGGACGGACAAAGTCATTTGAGGAACCTCTTCTATGGTAGTATAATAATTTATTGTTTTCGAAAAGCATGTTATTGTCGTTAAGGATACCCAGATGCAGTGGCGAGAGATACCTATCTGTCAAAGGAGCCACGATATCGTGTGCTTTACCAAGGTAACTGTGAAGTAAGTTGTTGTTAATGGTTGACATATTATTTAGGAATCTGATGGCTGCTTGGACCAGAAAGGAGTCAATTCTACCCATTTTGCTATATGTATATAAAAAGCTATTGCTCAGATTGTGATACTGCCCTCCGTGATGCTGCCTAATTGCTGGAGGGATACAGTTTCTTAGCATGTGCCTTTCAAATTTTCTTAGCCTCTCCATCTGGTGGGAGGAGATGTTGAACCAAACCGGGAAGCCATAGCCCAGGAGTGGCCTAACCAGTTGTTTATAGCAATTTCTTTTTATATCTTGCCTTAGGAATTTGGCTCTGCGAAAAATGGATGAGTAGGTAAAGAACGCTTTTCTGGCTTTGTCTAGCGCTGCGTTTACATGGGGTATGAAAGAGAACCTACTATCTAACGTAATACCTAGATATTTCAGCGTGCTACGGGATTGTATTTTCTGCCTATTGATGACTATATTGGGTATGTGCTTTTTCGTGGCAGGAGGTAAGAATTTCTTTAGGCCCTTCACAATTATGCATTGACACTTGGCGACGTTTAATCGCAGTTTCCACTTGTTGAAATACTTGTGGAGTTGCACTAGTTCTTTATTCAGTAAGGTGTTGGCCTGAGAAGCTCTAGGTTTAGAGGCGAGGAGAAGTATGTCGTCTGCATAGATTAACAGCTTGACGTCCTCACTAGCTACTGCAATATCTGCCAACAGAACATTATAAAGTATGGGGCCTAGCAGTGATCCCTGAGGCACTCCTTCACCAACCAATTTTAGTTCGGAGCTATTATCTAGGTGTTTTACAAAGAATTTCCTATTTGTGAGGTAGTCTAGTATTACTGAGCATAAGTGTCTATCAATTCCAAATAAGTTGACCATTTTATAAATAATACCTTCTATCCATGCGGTGTCGAACGCTTTTTCGAAATCTAAGGACACTGCTATAGTAGCTCTTCTCCTGTTCAAATTGCTAGTGACTGAGTCGGCTAGCAGTGTTAGAGCGTGTAGTGTGGAGAGCTTACGTCTGAAACCAAATTGGAAGTCTTTGAGGACATGATTGTTAGTCAGTTGTGTCACTAGGTCTTCCAGAAGGAACTTTTCATATAGCTTACTGATATTGGATAGAAGTGAGATTGGCCTATAGCTGCTTATATGCGAGGCGTCCCTGCCATTTTTTAGCAGAGGAATAACCCTGGCTACCTTCCAGGCGTCTGGGAAGTAGCCCAGATTGTACATTTGATTAAACAGAATGGCAAGGCACCTCCACAATTGTTGGCTGGTCTTTTTTAATATGAAATTGGGGATATTGTCTGGGCCACAGCTTTTCTTATTGTTTAAGGATTTGATTTTAGACCCTATATCTTCTGCAGTGATGCATGGGAGAGTCCTACTAGAAACTGAGTCCCTGACAGCATATCCATCTGCTGTTCTATCGTTACTAAACTGGGTGAGAATTTCAGGATTCCTAAGGAGATTCACCTCTTTTTCAACCTGAGCACCGAACAGGTAGTCTCCCATCTGCTTGTTACCATAGTGTACCTTCTCGAAACAATCTGCTAATGCCTCAACTTTGTCTGAATTGTGTGTGAGTGTTGTGTCATTACCTAGTCTGAGAGGAGGAAAATCTTTGAAACTGCTGATGCCACAG